GCATACAAGTTTAATTCAATTATATAGACCTATCCAAATTCTTGGAACTCCAATTAGAGTCCATTAACATCAAAGTCAACTCTTGGTCAAACTTATGAACTTTTAGGTTTTTTAAATTGCCAACTTTCAATAAATAATGTTGAATTATTCTAGGAACCTTAGAAACCAAATCCCAACATACGTAGAAGTCCAAAATCATTATACGAACCTATCAGAATAATCAAAACTCTCCTTAGTCCGTTTACCCAAAAGTCAAACATTTCTCAACTCTTCCAACTTAAAACTTTTAAAACGAGAATCATTCTTCCAAATCAATCTAGAACCGCTCAAAAACCGAAATCAACCATACACACAAGTCATAATATATAATATGAAGCTACTGAAAGTTTCAAACCACCAAATAAAACGTTAAACCTCAAAACAACCAGTCGGGTCATTACACAAATATACAATAGTATAAAATATTAGTACTTATTATAATTTTATATAATGTTGTATAATATTATAATATTATATACAAACATTCGATTTCACCTTCAACTTCCGTTTTCAATTGGTATGTTTCTCAAAGCAAATATTAATCAGACTCAATCAACTCAGGTCTCTAGATTCAAGTTACTACAAGTTTTAACTTCATCGAGTCGTTCTGCATTGTGATTTTTCAATTTTGAGTTGAACTTCAAGCTCCGAAGTTGCTTCACTAGAGTTACTCAGATGTGCAACCAACAAACAATCACGATTTCAAAAAAATTCAATTCCAGAGTTGGACAGTTATCAATATAATCGAGATTCAAAGCAACAAAGTGAATCGAACAACAATATCAGAGGAATATTTGGGGGTGCGAAATCATCCACGACAAAAGAGAACAAGAAAGAAGATAAGAAAAAAAAATACCCTTAGAAATGGCCTTTATTGTTGGGCTAACGGATGAATTTGTTTAAATTATATAGGGGTTTTTGACATAGTTATCCACAAAAACAAAACTATTTATCCTTGTCTATTCATTTATTTTTCTACCCATAAACTAATTACATTTCCTACCCATAATAGTTTTTATGGGAAATTTTTTCTTTATTCTACAATTCTTTTTTATTTCTATGCTTCTTTTCTTTTTTCCTTTTTTTTCTTTTCTCCTTTTCTTTTTTCTCATTTTCTTCCTATTTTTTTATTTTTTCTCTTTTATTCATTTATTTTTGCCCAAATCGTATAATTGTTATTTTTACCATAACTTATTTCAAACCAAAATTTGACTCCTTCTTTTTTCTTTTTTTTTCCTTATTTCTTGTTCCTTTTTCTAATTCCACGTGATTTTCATGCAAACCTTGATCTCCTTCCCTACAAATATCAGTACATACTCTACCATTAGCAGTAACACCAACCAGTGATGGAGCAAGAAAACCTAATCTACGGACACTAAATTTCCATATACACTAGTTAGAATAGAAATGATAATAAAATATTAGAAAATGCAATAAAAATATAAGTAGAAAAAAGACTTCTAGTACCATATGATACCAATATGGTATACATGTATACCAACAGAGCATATGATTGCTCTAGAATATTGCTACAACTATCTGTGACTATACTACTGTACCAAAACATTAAAGAATAAAATAAAAGTATGAGAAAATGACATGCTCGCATTGCAAGCTAAATATTCGCAAAGCAACTTGCTCATTCCATAGACTAACATGGTATATAGTTGTATGAGTCATTCCAACAATTGCCTATAATTATAAAAACTATTACATAATACACATAATTTATATTCATCAGCACAAAAAAATTCCAGCACTGCAAATCACGTTCATATAAATAATTTCAGAATAGAATTCACTTAAAAATGCAGCCAAAACAACCAAAAAATGTTCAATACCAATATGGCATATAACTATACCAACATGGTATACATTTTTACTGTTTAATTTTCGGCAACTATATGACTATACTACTATTACATAACACACATGCATAAAGAGAAAAATAAAAAATAGTGTACCACATATTAATATAATAAAGTATTTCAAGATATTGTACTATATTACTATTATTAAAAGAAAATCAAATATTGTACTAATAAATGCAGCTAATACAACCAAAAAATGATTCAACTAGTATATGATACCAATATAGTATATAGCTATACTAATAGGATATATAGTTGGAATGAATTGTATACCAAAATGGTATATTTGTATACTATTTGAGTATACAATACAAATTCGTGTTCTTCTATACAATACAAATTCGTGTTCTTCTCTTGTTCAACTATATTTCAACCCAGACTTCTAAAATCTACTACAAAATCTCCACCAAATTGACTAAAACTTTAGCTACAACCTCCAATCAACTTTCCAAACAAACCCATATAGGATCGGATCAAAATAATTAAAAACTCAAACAAACCAAGTTATGAGTTTCAAGCTTCAAGGTCCTTCAATGGTGAATTTGAATTTTTGTACAATAAATCTCCAAAAATCAGTTTGGATGAAGAGAAAGAAGAAGGTATTCAATAGTCAAAATATTAAGTGTCTACGTTTATTAGCTATTTATAACATCATTCCTTCTCCATACATTTTATTTTTCACTATTTGCGCTTGTTGTCTTTACTCAGAAGTTATGTTAATCTTCATTTCTCAAAAATAAAACAGGAGGAGATTCAGAATTCTCCACCAAGTTTGTTAATCAATCAACCAAACCCGAATGAGTCACTCATGCCAGTTCGAGGAGTTGATGAACTTCCAAAGCCACCAATCGCAAGCAGACGTAAGATTATTGGGAAATAACCGGGTAAATAGTTTGGGTAGCATGAGTAGGAGTAATAAATAGTTTGGACCTCGGCATTAAAGGGTAAATAGTTTGGAATTAATTGGTATAAAGTGAGATTTTCTCAATTATATATACGATTGGCCAAACCAGGTAAGATTGTAAAATATGGGCCCAATTTGGTTAGAATGTTCGATCAACCACTAGTGATTTTAATTTTTTCTATTTTGGTTGGCACCCTAAGACTCAAAGGTTAGACATGTAACTGGACCATTTGGAGGGGGGGTTGGGAGGAGAAGTAGATCTAATATTTAAATCCTATGAGTTTAATTTTCAAAGTTTTTAAAATTGAATTCATTATATTTTTAAAGTTATAGGTTCATATCAACTATTTTTGCAATTTTGATGAATTTTTACATATAATATTTTACTCTGTATTAAAAGTTATGGGTTTAATTGAAATCGTTGGTTCGACAGTAAATTCGACTCTGGTTGGGAGGGGACGTAACTTGACTACTAGTGTATTGCCTGGGTTGAATTCCTGCTCCAGTATTTGCTCAACAGTTGGTGCTTCTGCCTCTTTTAAATTATGGGTCCGCCTTTATATAGTAAGCTATGCATTCATATGTAAGTTTAATTTCTCAAGAATTTTCAGTCTAAAACTTGTTCACGCGTCCAACAATGACATACAAAGATTAACAGTGTTCAACCATGCAAGTAGATTTTCTCCTATATGTAAGAAGTGCGAGTGAAGCTGCTCAAGCAGACATCACTTCGCCGGCATCCCTGCTTCACCGAAAACATACTTGCCATTGCTTTTGCATATTATTACGCTAAATGCCACCACACAGTTTAGTAAATAAAGGGAACTTCTAAACCATTTTCGAGGCCCAAAACAGCTACACATGTTGCGCAAGCACGTGTGGTAGTTGCTGAATCAGTGACCCCACCTTAATTTACTGCATTTGATGGTAAATAAGTACATTTGCTGTCTTTTTGAAGAAGGGTGTCATACCAACATGCCACACACAAATTTATCATTTAAAAAATCCAGCTCTTCAATTTCAATAGATTTACCAAAGAGTAAAATTGATCAAAATAAATTTCCATTAAAACAAGAGAAAGGAAATGAATTTCCATTCACTACATGCGTTTCTCCAAGGTCATTGTTAATTATAGACATAGAATAGGTATGTTACTAATTGGTCATGGAGAAATAGGTCTAAACAACATTTGCGTATATTGCTACGGACAAGGTTGTTAAATCAATCACGGAGAATTTACTTTGCACTTCTTGAAATTTGTTGAATAATTAATACACAAATAAAAAATCCAGTTAAATAAGAAAGATAAGTGGTAAAACATAATTTAAAGTTTTAAAATTTGATTTTGTTCAACTTTTGAATTATATTGTGTGATTAGTATTAAGAAATCTCTTTCTTCTTTATTAATAATATATGTTATAGAAACCCCAGTTAAATAAGAGAAATAAATATTCTCTTCATATATTTGTTTGAATAGAAATTGAAGTTCAAAATTGATTTTTTTTCAACTTTTGAATATTTTTGTAGGATTAACTACTAAGAAATATTTCTTATTACTCCTCGATTTTATTTTATATGATGATAGTTGAATGGATCGTGAAGCTTAAGCAAGAAAAGAAGAGATTTTACACGTACTAACAGTACTCTTAGACCTTGGGTCATGTACATGCTATGGTATTTTTATGATTATAAGATCATGAGAGTAAACTAAAAAGTTTAAAATTAAAGAATTTTCAAATATAAAAAGTTGCCATTCTGGTAAAATGAGAGAATGTCTTATATAATGAAACAAAGGTAGCGGAAATATTCAACCATTTTTTTCCTTTAAAAACATGCCAAAAGAGCAATGAAAATGTGTCATCTTTTTGGGAAAGATTAAGAAAGAGGCTTTCACGTAAAATAATACAAATGAGATTAAATGATATTGTACTGTTTTTCCCCGTACAGGAACAAGTTGCTATAATAATTTCTTTAAAAGACATTAACTCTACCTAGTTTATGGAACACCAACCTTGACTTGCTTCAATAGTTAACTTTACTTGAATTACATTGCATTTGACATTTCATATAATATCTACCCTAATAAACTACAATCCAATCCAAATTGTTGGGCCCGTGCGCAAGCACGGCGAACATACTGTGGTATTATTCACAAGAGACACTCTATATAAAGGCTATAAGGTCACGCTAAATTAAATCAGCAAACTCGTGTAAGAAAATCTCACACTGCTAACAAATGGGTCTCAAAGGCAAGTTGATCTCTCAAATAGAGATGAAGTGTGCTGGAAATTTGCTTCATGAACACTTCAAATCAAATCCACACCAAACCTCCGCCATGTCTCCTGATAAGATAACAAATTTCACGTTACATGAGGGTCAATTGGGTAATACTGGTTCTGTTGTCGGCTGGAAGTACGTTCTCGGTAAGCCTCTATTTTCTTTCCAATTTCAATTTGCTTTGGTACAAGTGACCGATTTCTCAGCTTTCTCTCTTCTTTTTATTTTGTGATATTATATGGTAGGATGTGTTTGGTACGAAAAAAAATATTTTTTGGTTTTTTTATTATTTTTTCGGTGTTTGATTAGGTATGAGAGAATATTTTTAAGATATATAATTTCGGCAAACACTATGAGACAAAATAGGGGAAGGGTGGTAGGTCGGGTCTAGGAGCCGGAGTAGCGGTGGCAAAGGGGTGGCGTGGGGAGGGGGCGTTAACGNTCTTTCAATTGAAATAAATGTGTTCGGAAAATATTATTCAAAATATTTGAACGAACTAAACATGAAAAAAATGAATTTTCCGTGAAAATAAGGCGTAAATTTGTTCTGCATGTCCCATGTTTATTTAAAGTGTATCATGTATGACATGAGCTTAAATGCGTGTACTTCAACATTTGTTTTGACAACAGGAGGAAAAGAGAGGCATGCGAAGCAGGTCCTACACATAGATGATGCATAAAAATCAATCACCTTCAATTTTGTTGAAGGTTATATGAATGAATTATACAAGTCCATAACAGCTACTTTGACTGCAGAAGGAAACTGGATGACTTGGACCCTTGTGTATGAGAAGTTGAATGAAAACACACCAGAGCCCCTTGATCTTTTGGAACTTGCTATTTGCCTCCTCAAAGATCTTGAGCCTCACCATGTCGGAAAATAGATATTTGTTCCCGTTCCCATCAGTATGATGAAGTATTATGGCCATCCCAAATCCTTATGAATAAATAAAACTATTTGGTGTGATATGTATTCCATATGAGTTCTATGTTAGCGTTTCCAATGGTAATAATATTATACTCCCTCCATTTCAATTTATGCGAACTCATTTGACTGGGTACGAAGTTTAAGAAAAGACAGAAGATTTTTGAACTTGTGGTGTAAAATAAAGCACATATATTTTGTGTGGTTATAAATCATTGCATAAAGGTAAATTGTTTCCAAATAGGGAAAGAAGTCATTCTTTTTGGCACGGACTAAAAAAGAAATAGGTTCACATAAATTGAAACGGAGGGAGTATTAATTAATATGATGTACTTTTGGATCGACTCTCTATAATAATCCAATCTCTCTTTTATGTTATGTACCATTACATATTTTAAGACTTTTCGTAGGTTCATATGATATTTGGATTTACATATATCGTTGGTTTGGAACCCGACGAGCTCGAGGGTGTTGCGGCACCATTACATGTAATTTGGAAGTTATAGCAACTTTGATTTGAATAGTTGCATTCGCTTCATCATTCGAGACATTTAAATAGGTCAGTATAGTATTATTGGACTTGTTTGATTGTTTCGAGGAGTCCCGGGATCCTTGGGTGAGTTTCGGCGGTTGAACAAATTCTTAAGTTACAAATTTTTCTAATGCCTTTATTGTGATCGCGTGGGTAGTGTCACGATCTTGAAGGCTTATGTGAGCTGGTCATGGTGACTGCGTGTAATGACCCGACCAGTTATTTTGTGTAATTGTTGTTACCCCCCATATTTTCGTATGTAAAAGTGCATCGTAAGTAAACTAAAGTAGGACAAAAAATGAGATCATCTTTGAAAGTATATAAAATAAGTTAATCATATTACCTCAGAGTTTACAAATATTGAAGATCATTAACAACAAGTACAAAGTGGATTGGAAGGTTCAGAAGCCAAAGGAATTAAAAAAAATAATATTTTGTCGAAAGTCGACAAAATGAGAATGTTATAACATGTACTTTTGGGGTGAGACTAGGGTGTTTAACATGATAAAGAGGTTATGTTATGAGTTATGTTAGTCGTATGATAGTCATGTGTTATGTTTTGAAGTCATGCCAGTTGTGGAACAAAAATCGATGAAAGTCATCACAGGTTACTTCATAAGTTTTACTGAAATTTTGATCAAATGTCACTGCAATTTTCTCCCAATATACTTAGATTTACAAGGTGATCAATCCATCAAATTGAAGATCTATGAGTCTATTTTCTAACGCATTAAACTGATTGTCAATACGACATTGGAGTAGAGAGATATATGTGTTTTTGCAAGACTGTGCAGACTGCTAGGTGACAAGTAGGTGTGTCACCTACTTGCTTAAATGAGAGGATTAAATATTTCCAAAAAGAGCTATTTCGGGTAGGCCAAAGAGCCCTTTTAAGAGCTTATCTCCTGCAAATATAATACTCATTATATAACAAAATAACCAGAGATAAGCCCCTCCAAAAATCCTCCAAAAAATTGAACACAATCCCTAATTGATTTTCTCTCGTTTTCAAGTTGGAGGAAAAACCTAGGTTTTGAAGAACCAAGATAGGAGTTGGGGTATTCAACAAATAAGGTAAGATAAACCTTGTCACATAGTGCACACATCCCAAACAAGGTAGAACACAAGAACAAGTACGGATGTGTGTTTACAATACAGGTGTATCTACATCTGAGGAAAATATAGCATAAGTCTCAGGATTTGCTGTAACGACCCAACTAGTCGTTTTGAGTATTTAAGCATTGTTCCCCATTTATTACGTCCTCTATATTGTATTGTGATTATGTGACTTGCTGGTGTGTTTGGTTTTGGTTCGGGTGAGTTTCGGAGTGAAATGGGAGACTTAGTTCTAAAGTTAGAAGTTTAAGTTGAAAGAGTTGACCGTAGTTTGACTTTTGACTGTCCAATAGCTCCTTATGGTGATTTTGGACTTAGGAGCATGCCTAAATATTGATTTGAAGGTCCGTAGGTCATTTCAGCTTGAATTGGCGAAAGTTGGAAAGTTGAAGGTTTGGAAGGTGGAGAAGTTTGACCGAGAGTTGACTTTATTGGTATCGGGTCGGGATTTTGATTCTGGAAGTTAGAATAGGTCCGTTGTATCAATTATAATTTGTTTGCAAAATTTGAGTTCAATTGAAGTTGGTTTGGTATGTTTCGACATTAGTTTTAGAAGTTAGAAGTTTATAAGTTCATTAGGCTTGAATCGATGTGTGATTCGTGGTTTTATTTTTATTTGATATGATTTGAAGATTCAAGTGAGTTTGTACTATATTTTAGGACTTGTTGGTATGTTCGTACGGGATCCCGGGAGCCCCGAGTGTATTTCGGATTGAGTTCGGACCAATTGTTCTTGAAATAGGATTGCTGATTTTTCCGAGTCTGGTTTCCTTCATCGCGTTTGTGGAGGACGTGCTGCAATCACGTAGAGTAAGTTGTGGCAGATGGAATTTTACTCTTCGCCTTCGCCAAGAATGGGATGTGATCATAGTGTTTGAGGAGATTGTGAATCACGAACGCGTGAGGTGGATGGCGTTCGCGTATAAGGAAGGTGAGGCTAAGGCACACGGTGTTCCTCGTGTTTGCGCGGCCTGAAGCATGATCGTGTAGGTTGAGGAATCTGGTCATCGCGTTCGCAACTGGCTTTACATGATCGCAGAGAAGGTTGTATGAGTTGGGGAAGAATTGTTGTTCGTGATCGTGAGTGTTTGTCCGCAGTCGCGAAAGAGGAGAACTGGGCAGCGGTGTTAAAATTCAAAACGAGGGTTTTATTTCATTCTTCATCTTTTGGACTTAGAGAGCTCAGTTTGTGGTGATTTTTAGAGTCATTTTCAAGGAATCAATCGGGATAAGTGATTCTAACTCGGATTTGGCTATTATGCATTAATCCATCGTTGTTTTTATCATTTATTTAATGTTTTGGGTTAGAATAGTTGGGGGAAATTATGAAAACTTCATAGACCAATTTTTGGGGATTTGAAAGGCGATTTGAGTAATTTTACAATGGTTAGACTCGTTATTAAATGGATATTCGGATTTTGTATGTTTGGCCTGGTTCCGAGATGCGAGCCCCGGACTGGCTTTTTGATTTTCTTTAAAGATTGTAACTTTATTATTCAGAATAATTTTCTATAGTTTGTATTTATGGTATAAAGTTATTTTGGCTGGATTGGAGCCATTCAGAGGGATAATCATGGAAAAGTGTTACTAGTAATTGAGTTACCGTGTTTCGAGGTAAGTATCTTGCCTAACTTTGTGTGGGGGAATTACCCCTTAGGATTTATGTTGTTTTGTGTTAATTGTGGTATGTGAAAGCCGTGTACGTAAGGTGACGAGTAAGTACACGGACTAAATGTAGCAATTGACCGGTTTAAGCTTTGTAGATTCTTTCATGCCTTTAATTGAATTGTCATAGCATGTCTTCTTCATCATAATTAATCTATTATTACGTGATTTACTTGACATTGTAAATACTTGTCTCATCCCTTACTTTTTAATTGCCTTTACATGCTTAGTTAAAGTTCTTGTTCTCTCATTTCTTTGTTAATTATTTATCTGTTAAGTTCTTTTACTTGAAGTTGTTATTTTTTGGAATAGCTTATTATTGAATTATGATGTTGAAGTTATAAAGGTCGTGATTCACATTGAGACAAAGTTGTAAATTTGTTCAAATATCGTTCTTGTTGAGTTATTCACTTTCGGTTGCTATTATTGAGACTCTTGTACATATTGTGGTTGGGCCATGAGCCATTTATTATCGAAATACTATTATTGTTGACTTCTTTGGCAAGTTGTGGTATTGGACACTTGAGATGCGATTTGTGGTATTTATACGCATGTGATGGTATAAAGATTGGGGTTGAAACGCATGCGGTGAGATAAGGTAGGCTTGATACGCATATTGCTAGTAGAGGAACTACTTGAAGTTACGTGTTGTGATATGGTGGGATAAAACGCGGGTCTCTATTTTGGGAAAATGATTTTCCAAACAAAATACAAGGCTCTCGCAATGGTATAAGGAAAGACTGTCATTTGATTTGTGAAATGAAACTACGAGGCAGTACCTCGGAAGTGATTCTTGTTGATACCTTTAATTTACATCACTTGTGTTTTGCTTGCATCGTTTCCTTGGCATTCTTGTTATGTGCTTTCTTCTATGATGTCTTAATTGCCTTAATTTCAGTGTAGCTATTCTTGTTATAATTCTTCAGTGTATCATTTCCATTGTTCCTATTATCATACTGTACTATATTCAGTTTCTTTATTTATTTCAGTAGGTGTCTTGACTCGACCTCGTCACTACTCTACCGAGGTTAGACGTAATACTTACTGGGTACCATTGTGGTGTACTCATACTATGCTTCTGCACATCTTTTTATGCTGATCAAGATATTTCATCCCAGCCTAGGCATCGGTGAGTCGAGCTTGGATCGGAGACTTCAAGGTATACCTGCTGGTGTTCGTAGGCCTCGGAGCCACCCTCTATCTAGTTTCTATTTCATTCTCCTTTTATAGATACTGTTATATAGGGATGTTCAGTATACTCATGTATAGCTTGTGACTCGGTCTCACCAAATTTTGGGAGTTATACTCTTTTTAATTGAGAGTTTTATTATTATTTCCGCCAATTCTTCATGCATGTTAGGCTTACCTAGTCTTAGAGACCAGGTGTCATCACGATATCTTACGGAAGGAGTTTGGGGTCATGACAAGTTGATATCAGAGCTCTATGTTCATAGGTGTTACGAGTCATAAGCAGGTTTAGTGGAGTCTGGCGGGTCGGTACAGAGACGTTTGTACTTATCCTCGAGAGGCGATGGAACTATTAGGAAACTTCACTTTCTTAATTCCTTATCGTGCGAATTTGTTGAGTTTGAAATTCTGAATCTTTGTCTTTCTTGTCACGGCATGAAATTCTCATCGTCGGGACCGTGATGGCACCTAACATTTTACTTACTAGACAAGCCAACATTAGAAATCGTTAAGCCAAATTCTTAAACCTTTCGGTGTTTAACAACAATTAAGCCATAATAAGTTAAAAAGAGCGCGAAAATCCATAACAATCTTAATA